GNNGGGGGGGGGGAGTGAATGGATGGCTCGGATTCAGTCTGGAGCGTTCCCGTGTGCATCGACGACCAGGATCGTGACCAAGCGAAGATATTTGTATGAGAACTGAGATCGTGGGGTATGACCTCAGCAAGCAGGACCCTACTTGGCAGTCAGAGGCCAGCAGTTTCCGAACCGTCTTGTCGAAGGCTCATCTGACATCTGTCGTCGGTACTCTGGAGTCTGGACTGCGGCCCTGGTTTCAACTTTTTTTTTTTCAAAGTTTCAACTTTTCTGTCACATTAAATATTAAATAGTTGGACACATGTATGCCGCATTAAATATGGATGAAAAAAAATTAATTGCACAGTTTGTATGTAAATCGCGAAACGAATCTTTTGAACCTAAGGGCATCACCAATGTATATGGCAAAGTGATCCATATAGATGGGACCCACATAAATAGTTTTTCCCTATAGCAATCTCCACAATATAGATACAAGGTATCATTAGGAGAAGAGAGAGGAGTAGAGATAGATAATATAATTTATTCCATATGGGTAGTCCATATGCATATGGGTATCTTTTACAATTTTTTTCTATATAGACTAGTTGCACAATGGTAATAGATGGCGGAATGAAATATTCTATTGCTTATGGACTACTTTTACATCACATTATGGATGCCCTAATTATATCATGATTTAATAATGTGGTGCTACAATAAACATTTGCTAATGACGGATTAATTAGGCTTAATAAATTCATCTCGCAGTTTACATGCGGAATCTATTACTCCCTCCATCCCAATATAAAGCAATTAGGTTGATGTATGTGGACATATGGGGTGTCCACATACATCTACCTAGGAGGTGTCACATCCCCTCCTAGGTTGCTATATTTTGGAACGGAGGGAGTATTTGTTTTGTTATTAGTCTACGTTTAATACTTCAAATATGTGTTCGTATACTTAAAAAAATTTTAGCACACGAACTAAACACAACCTGCCTTCGACTATGTGTTAGAGCATCCCCGGAGATATTCTATCCCTAATTTGGTGCATAGGAGTGAAAAAACCACCTCCAGCGGATGCGCCATTCAGTCATCCAAAAATAGTGCATGCGCTAAAACGGGAGAGAGAAAGGGCAAATATAGCGTGTCTCTCTCCTCACGCCATATCACAACGACCGCACTCCCGCCCTCATCCGGAGTTCCCCGACCTCCCCACCATCGTCGTCATCGCAGGCCTGTTTTTGATTTTTTTTACAGCAGATGGTGGAGAGGGAGGGTGTAGCCGTGGAGTGAGGGTGGAGAGGGAGAGGCATACCAGATCTGGAAGGAGAGCGCCGCCAGCGGCAGCCCTACAACCTCCGCGTGCACGTTTGCGCCTGCCACCGTCGCCCTGCGCACGGCCGCCGCCTGCCTCCGTCACCCTGCGCCCACCCGCCGCCGCCGCCTTCGCCCATCCGCGGCCGCCGCTTGCCTCCTCCACACCCATCCGCGCTCTTCGTCCGATCGCCCGCCGCCGCCCCTTACCCGGCTGCCCGCCAGCCACCTGCACCCATCTGCGCGCTGCCGGCCAGCCGCCCCATATCCCTTGCAGAAAAGAGTAGAGAAGAGTAGAGACTAGAGAAGAGCGGAGAAAAGATAATAGGTATAGAGTAGAAACTTGATTTATATTGCTATATACTATTTGCTGTGCTTTTTATGTTCATTTACTTTGCTATGATTTTTCTTGCTAGGTAAATTTATGGACAGCTATGTTGATTTGTTGGGTTAGCTGGAAGATGTTATTAAAATATAGATGGGTGTGATATATATGATGTAATATGGATGATCTGTTGGAGTGGGAAGGGATATGAATGAGAAATCTTTTTTGGATGACTATCCATATAAACATGTGGAGGATCAAATATGGATGAGCTCCTGGGAATGCTCTTAGAGTAGGTTTAATAGGAGTGCTAGCTGTTAGCTGCATTAGGGGTAGTTTGGATACAGTAACTAAACATGCTACATCCGATATTGGAACACTAATTTGGAGTATTAAACATAGACTAATTACTCAGATGGAGGCTAATTTGCGAGACGAATCTATTAAGCCTAATTAATCCTTGATTATCACATATTTACTGTAGCACTATATTGTCAAATCATGGACTAATTAGTATTAGTAGATTTGTCTTGCCAATTAGCCTCTACTCCCCCGGTTTCATTGTAATTGACGTTTTGGACAATGACACGTTTTACAAAATATATCTTTGACATTATTTTTCTATTATAATATATACAATAAATAAATGTATATTTACTTTTATTATTGTGCTTTGAAAGACACATCTATATATGTTGCTCTGGTTCCTTTCAACTAAATATTTTTAAAGTTATTGATGGTTAAAGTTATAAAAGTTTTACCTAACCTTGTCCAAAACATCAATAATTATGGAACCAAAGGGAGTATCTATGTAATTAGTTTTATAATTAGCCTATATTTAATACTCAAAATAGTGTCCAAACATCCGATGTGACATGACAGGGACTAAAGTTTAGTCCTGGTATCCAAACTACCCTAGTGTACGTGTCATCTCCACGTTATTTACCATCATCTCTGTAGCTAACTTACACAATGATGATCTCCACCAATACTTAGCATCAAATTCTAGAAAGTATTATTTATATATTATGGGATCCTGCCATGCATGTGTTCTGCTGTACTCCCTCCGTCCAAAAAAACTCAACCTAGACAAGGATGTGACATCTTCTAGTACAACGAATCTGGACAACCCTTTATCCAGATTTGTTATACTAGAAAATGTCACATCCCCTCCTAAGTTTAGGTGGTGTTTGGATCCAGGGACTTAACTTTAGTCTCTGTATTTAGACACTAATTTAGAGTATTAAATATAGACTACTTACAAAACTAATTATATAAATGAAAGCTAATTTGCGAGATAAATTTTTTAAGCCTAATTAATCCATAATTAGAGAATGTTTACTGTAGCATCACATAGGATAATCATGGATTAATTAGGCTCAATAGATTCGTCTCGCGAATTAGTCCAAGATTATGAATGGGTTTTATTAATAGTCTACATTTAATATTTATAATTAGTGATGCAGTGTCACACCCTAAAAATTCAAAATATATAAATTGTTGCTTAATTGGAATTTTTAGAAATGATTTTAAAAAAAGCCTAGAAGAGAAGATCTAATTTTAAATAATAAATTCCAATATAAAATGGTGCTAGATAAAATTTCATTAAATACTTTGCTTAATTCTATAATTCTTAGATTTTTCTGGGATTTATTTGAGCTAAGGAAGTATTTTTAATAAATGGAATTGCATTTAAGAAATAATTTAAATTGAAAAAGGTTTTAAAAAGTCTCTTTTGGCTTTGGGCCGAAAGTCGGCCCAAAACCTTTCTCTCTCTCCTCGGCCCAGTCCGGCCCAGTCCGCCGCCGCGCGCGCGCGCGTCCGCCCGCTGACAGGTGGGGCCCAACTGTCAGGGCCGTCGTCAACCTCCGGCCGCCGCCGCCCGAAACCCTAGTTTCGCGCCGCCGCCGTTCCCTTCCAAATCTGGTCGATCCTTTCCCGATCCGGTGAAATCAATAGAGGGGAAACAATCTCCGGGATCTCCTCTACCTTTTCTCTTTTGGAAACATCGGCTAATTCGTTTTGGAAATCGTTGGAATCAAGTTCGAATCGGATTCGTCTCTCTCCTCCGAACCCTAAACCTTCCTTCTCGTCGCCAGCCGCCGTGGGCCTTCGCCGTGGCCTCCGAGTCCCTTTAAAAGGTTCCCCGGTGTCTCCTCTACCCGCCGCCACTCTCGCCTTCGCCTCTCGTCGCCGGAAGAGCTCTAGCGCCGTGCAACCTAGCGCCGCCGTCGCCGCCGTCGCTCCAGCCGTGCGCTGCCGCCGTCTCGGTCGTCGTCATCGCTCGGGAAGGCCACCGTCATGATCGCCAAGTCGCCGCCGTTCTCGTCCGCTCCTTCGCCGCCGCCGAAGACCGCCGGAACACCGTCGCCGCCGTCGACCCGAAGTTTGCCGCCGATTCCTCCTCGTCGCCGTCGCCGTCCGTTGATCTTCTGCCGCTGTTTTGGTCACCGGTGAGTTCGCCGCGTCGCGCTCTACCCGTTGGTGCCTTCCGTTCGCGCCGCCGTGCCGTCGTTCGCCGGCGAGCATGCAAGCCCGAGCCGCCGAGCCGCCGCCGCCGGTGGTGACGTCATCGCTGACGTCATCGTCGCCCTCTCCCGTGAGCCGGTCGTAGACCGATCGATCTCGGCCGTCCGTTTTGGATGGATCGATCTCGGCCGTCCGTTCGCGTGAACCGTCGCCCGTGCGCCCGGTCCACCGAAACCCTAGCCGCTGACGCAATAAACCCCTTTTTCCTTTTCAAAAATAATTCATTATTGCGTCATAATTCAATTAAAATCAATATAAGTGTTTTAATCCGATTTAATCTTCAAAAATTCATAACTAATTCATCTTAGCTCCGATTTAGTTGGTTCAAGTCTCTAAATTTTTCTAAAATTGAGATCTACATGTTAAAAATATCCACATGTACTGTTCATGCTTGTTTATGTGCTGTTTTGGTGATTTTGTTCTTTTCTGCTTAGATTCCGTCGTTTCCGGAGAGTCCGTTTTAGCAGGAGAAGATTTTGAAGAGTTCCAAGGCCAGCAAGGCAAGTCACACAGATCCCAAACAACCCTTTGAGCATGTTGATCCTATTTAAAGCTATTGTTTCTATTCAAATATTGCATTTATTTTCGAATGTCATTGGATGGAATTAACCTATTGTTTGTTATAGCCCTTTTGTTCTTGATTACTTTATTCCTTGATACCTTGGGTTAATATAACTTGACTAGTTGAGCTTTATATATATTGGTTCAACTAGATATTAGATATAATTGCTTAGCCCTGCTTAGAAACATTAGCTCACTTTTGGGATAACTTATGACTCACTATTATTTAATGATGGCTTAATGAT